GTGCGATCCGTATAGTGCCTGGGATTGCCAAGTTACTTGAGAGCATCGACAGTGCACTGCTGGCGATTGGCGGCCTCGAAATGGTCGAAGGCGAACCGGACGTTTCGAGTCTGATGGAGGCCAAGCGCTTCTATTACAGTGCTGTGCTACTTACGCACCTCGCTCGTGCATTCTACCTCCATGGGATGTACGCTGAGACGCTGCTGTTGGTGCAGCGCGGTGAGCTGTATCTGCGCCAGGTATCGCAGTCGCTCGAACTTGCCGAGGGTGCCGAAGACGAGGATGCCGCGTTTGCACCGCAGCTACTGACCAGCAGCGATGCGGTGCATGTGCAGACCGAGCGTCTTGCGGCGCTGCGTGCCGATGCAACGGCGGCTGCGCGTACGTCGCGTGGCGGTGTGTCGTCCGTGTCGTGGTCTGGGTCCAAGTCTGGTCAGACGCTCTACCACCACGCTCAGCGCCACGTGTCATTCGACCCGGAGAATCTGCGGCTGATGCTTGAGCAGGTGCGTACGGACGATGTGCCTATGGAGGAGGACAGGGCGGCCGCCAACGAGGCCACTGCGGTGCCTACGTCGTCCGAAACGGTGTCGACACCTGCGCCCACTGCCGAGACTTTGTCGGCGCCTGCAAACGTGCCTACAGTGCCTTTTGGCGCGTACGATCCCACGAATGAGCTCCTCGAAAAAGAGGAGGCGGCCGAGGCGGCCGTCGCTGCCCAGCAGTCTCGGCGCTCGTGGCTCTCTGGGTGGTTCCGTAGGTCGTAGGCTGCACCCGGTATGCGAACGCACGTGCGCACTACATCCCGATTCCCGATAAACACGTGGCATCGCGCCCCGTGTTTTTTTTTTTCGGGGTGGCGGTTGGGTTGTCTCACCCGACTCGGCCTAAGCCTCTCGGCCGTTGTTTGGTACTACCACCGAGACGCGTGTGCTCTGAGCCGAAACGCGTTTGCATCGGCCGACTGGTAACCCTCCACCCAACGCGCAACACTCACGTACGGACGCGTCGAGACGCGACCGGAGGTACATGGCCATCCTCTCTGACGTATCACACGGGGTTACAGCCGACGGGACCAGCAGTCATATGAGCCGCGAGAACGTCGATACCCTACAAGCGCACGCGCTGCCCACCGGCGTGCAGAATGCACAGGCTTTCTCGATGAGCGACCATACCGGGCAGCACTACCACTCCGTCGACGCGCTCTCGTCGAATGTGCTGCCTGCTGCGGCCCGCGACCGGATTGCCGCTCAGGAGCCGCAGTCGAAGCCGCCGTCGACCAAGCGCCGGAAGATCAACACGTGTTTCCCGTGCAAAAACCGCAAGGTGAAGTGCGACCGTCAGCAGCCGTACTGTGGGCAATGCCAAAAGCATCGTATCCCCGCGGAACGCTGCGTGTGGTCCACGGACATGGCCATGGGCCCCGACATGCACTCGCACTCGAACCTTGGCTTCTCAAAGGACGGTGCACACGCACTGAACCTGTCAAACGAGTGGACCAACGCGCACGGACACGAGCTCGCGCTTGACAACGATACGCGTACCGTGATCGACCGGATCTCGCATCTGGAGCAGCGACTTGGCGGCCCATCGTCGCAGCCATCGTCGCACGATATGCACAACACGGCGACCGGCAACCAAATTGACCCGCTGCTGCTTGGCACGACGCTGGCGCTTGATGTGAATGCGGACCGTCAGGGTGCATCGCTACCGCAGGACTCGGCGGTGGTCGCCGAGTTGGCGTTTTGGCGCAACAAGATCGAGCAACAGCAGCGTGCGTCGCAGGCGAGCGATGGGAGTCAGATGGCGATGCAGGCCGAGCCCAACATGGCAGCGGCAGATGCGCTCGCGATGTTTGCGCGTCACTCGCAGCAAAACTCTCTGAGTGGCGGCGACCAGGGCCTGCACCGTGCGGCCCCTGTGACGGCTGGTCTAGCGGGGACGAGTGCCGAGGCCGAAGTGCCGCGGCAGACGATCGTGAATGCGCTGCTCGACAGCGCGACGTTTCATACGAATACATCACGTATTCGTGCAGCGCTCGACATGCTGCCCGACCAACAGCAGACGGACTACCTGCTCAAGATTCTGCAGACGGTGGACCTGCACGTCTCGTACGGGATCAGCTGGCGCCTGGTCAAGATGCAACTGGCTAGTCTGCGCACGCAGCTCGCGAGCTGGAACCGAATGCAGACGACGGTGCCTGAGCATGTCGACCTGTCGTTCCTGTCGCTCCTCCTCATGCTCTTGGGGCTTGCCGCGCAGTACACCGAGTCACGTTTCTTTGTGGAGCAAAACTTTTGCACGTCCCCCGAGCAGGTCGGCACGCTGGTCGATGCATGGGTTGATTCGGCGCAGGCGCTGATGGCCATGGATGACTACGTGAACAAGACCAATTGGAACCACCTGGTGTCGCTCTTTCTGTGCATCCACCACCATGCGCTGCGCGGCAAGCTGATGGTGTGCTTCACGACGATGGCGCTGCTCGCGCGGCTCGCGGAGCTGCAAGGCTACCATCTGCTCGGCTCGGCCAAGGCCGACGAAGACGCGTGGCGCGAGTCGCCGACGAGCAAGCAAGTACGCGTGTCTGCAGTTGTAGGCATGCCGAGCCCCGATCCGAGTCGTCCCGAGACGCTGGTCAAACCGTCGCTGCACACGGCGTGCAGCCTGCCGGACCGCTCGCACCTCGTGCGGGAGGCCGCGCGGCGGCTGTGGTACAAGATCGCAACGCAGGATCTGATCACAAGCACCGTCTTTCACCGCGCCTCCACACTCGACACGGCGCGTGCGACGACGCAATACCCCCTGAACCTTGACGAAGAGGACCTGCCGGACGGCGAAACGCACGTGCTGCCTCCTGCCAAGGACGCGGGCCGTGCGACAATCAACAACCTCACTCCGTACACCTTTGAGATTGCGCAGCTCGGTCGCGAGCGCATGCCCGTCGTGCCGACCGAGTCGCGCGCCTACGACGCGGTACTCGACCTCGACGCGCAGCTGCGCCGCCGGCTGTCGTCGCTGCCGATCTACCTACGCCCCGATCCAGCGCTGGAGCAGCTCCCCGAGGTGCGCCAGGAGCAGTCGCAGCGTCCCTACCTCGCGATGCACCGCCTGATCATCTTCGAGGCAGTGAACCACCAGCTGCTGATGCTGCACCGCGATTACCTGTGTCGTGGACACCAGGAAGAAAAGTATGCGTCGTCGATGCGTATCGCCGTTGATGCCGCACGCACGATCCTCTCGTGCCGCCAGCAGATCGACAACGTGCACCCGTCGGTACAGCGGCACCCCGTGTTCCGCCACCACCTGTTCCAGGCGGCGGTGGTGCTCACGCTGCAGCTGCTGCACCTCACACGCAGCGGCCAGGGGTCGTCGCAGGTTGCGCACCAGCTCCGCGACGACATTGCACTGATCATCAACTACCTCACCGACGCAAGCGATGTGAGCGGCAACCTTGTGGTCCAGCTCACGCACTCGCAAAAGGTTGCGTTCAAGCTGGTTGAGCTGCTGCTCGCCGAAGAGAGCGTGCGCCGGCAAAACACCGCCCAGGCGTCCAAGTCCGAGACGGACAGCGCGGAAAAACCGATTCCCCACTCGGTCGGCGGCATCCACCTGGACAACAACAGTACGAACAACAGCATCTTCCAGCTTGCTGCCTCCTCTTCGGGCTCGGATGCTGTGAACGAGACTGCTGCCGCCCTCGCGGCGCACATGCTCGATCCCCAGTTTGGCATCACCACCGGTCCCACCGAGTTCTTTGCATCGTTGGACGAACTCATGGTCCCTATCTATTAGCTTTTATAACAAGAGAGGAGATTGTACAAATGTCATTAGCACGGCGTATCGCGAAGGTCTGCCAGACGGTCGAGCGTCGCGACCAGCGTTTCGATCACGGCACGCACGTCGTGCCAGGTCTGCGCACGGACGATCCCATGCGGACATTGCGGTGCACTGGTACGCAGTGCCTCGGTCCACTGTGTCAATGTGAGTAGCTCGGTCGTACGGTGTGCCATCTCGAGCTTGCTCAAGAGACTCGGATGTTCGCCAATAAGCACACCTACGTCGGCATCCAACAGACATGGCAGGTCGTGCAAGCTGTCACCCACGTATAGCGTCAAGGGACACGGATGATATTGCGCTTGTATCGCTTCCAGCACCTTGCGTTTGTCCATCCCCGTAAGCATCGGCTGCGCACCGGGCAAGGGACCAACGACCCGGCCAGTGCCGCGCTGGTGCTCAGCGTGCTGTTCAATTTCGTTGGCGTGGATATCGGCAAAGCTGATGGCACGCAGGTCTTCTTCGAGACACATACTTGGCTCCTTGCCGTCACGAATTAAAAGCGCGTCCAAAATGAAGCGTCGTGACCAGTTAACGCTCACAATATGAACATGGATGCGCCCGGGCGGGACATGACGCCGGGCGTACTCCAACACGTCGTTCCAACCTTCGCGGAACTCGACGCGGTGTGCACGGGACCGCCGGTCCGTGTGCTTGGTATCTTTGAATAGTCCCCCTTCCACGACCTTGTCTAGGGTAGTTTGCTCGGCTCGTGCGACATCGCCGACATACGCCAGGAGTTGTGCCTCGGTGTCCAGGGGTCCATACTGCGACTTGAACGCGTGCTGGTCCTTGAAGTATTCGTCCTCATAATGTTGGAATGGCCTTGTCCCTTTACAGAGCTCCTCATGCGATGGCGCAACGAGTCTAAGTGTGTCGCAGCAAGTAATGGTCTCGTCCCAATCTGACACCAGCAAGAGCGCCGGGGCCATGGCGTATTCGACACAGAGAAGGCACATGGACTATATGCATCCTATAGACACCTCGATGTCAACAACCGAGTCCAATAGTTTAACGGTTATGACGTATCCTTCACACCAGTTGTTGATACATCAGCTGCTCGGATAAGATCCCGGTTCGATTCCGGGTTGGACTACTTTTTCTCCTCCCATACCATCATGACTCGGACCCAAATTTGCACTTTGCGCAAAAGTTTGTTGGTTCAAAGTCCAATAGTTTAACGGTTATGACGTATCCTTCACATCAGTTGTTGATACATCAGCTGCTCGGATAAGATCCCGGTTCGATTCCGGGTTGGACTACATTTCTTTCTTTTTTTGCCCCACTTCGTGCTCACCGCCCAACTCGCACGATCCTACCAGGGTCCTCTCGAGGTGAGGACGTTGTGTGATGTAGGCTCTGCGATGCACTTACGACTCACTCTACTTGCATCCTTACGTTTTACGTAGCCACACACACTGTACATTCCATCAGTCCTATATATATACAAAAATCTAAGCAGAACCGCCCATCCCGACAAAGTACGGGTCATCGGGGGAAGTCTCTGGATGGAACTGCAGCTTGCCCTCGCGGAACAAAGCGCGCGCCGACACCACCGGGCGCTTCTCGCTGTGCGGCGATGCACGGTGCAATGAGTTGTTTGGCTTCCAGCCACCGCCCACACTGGCGCCAATAAACGCCGGGACGATGGCCAAAAGGCTCTTGGGATGGATATCACGGTCACGCATCAAGCGCTTATTACTCTTAAGCACGAGGTTACTCGCACGCAGACGCCCACCGCGGATACTCGAGAACGAGCCGAGCTGCTCGGCCAAACGACCGACGGCCGGTTCATTCCAATCCCTGTAATAGGTGTTGGAGCGAGTCAACTTCTCTTCCTCTTCGGCCTCGTGCGAGACCGTCGGCAAGGCGTTGGGGTCGGGCATGAGTTTCAGCCGGATGAGAACACGTTCGATCGGTCCAGGAGGGCACAAGCGCGTCAGCACGCCGAGTGGCCATGAGATGATGCCCGCCACGATCGAAATACCCCAGTCGCGGCCAGGTAGGCGCGTGACACTGAACGTCGCACCACCCTTGAAGATGATAAGCACCTGAGCGCCGACCTCGATCGCAACGATCAAAATGAACCAGATGTTGCGGTGAATGTTGTGGAAGATGTTGAGTTTCCGGTCGAGCCGGCGTGCGTTGATTTGATTGAAAAGTTGACACCATACGAATACATTGAACACGAGCGCACCCAGTTCGACGCCTTCTTTGTGTTGGCGTACGGGATCGGTGTGATCCAGGTGGAGGATATGGGCACCGCGGAAGTTGAGTACGAGGATGACAATGATCTGGTAGATGGACTGCACCACAATGTGCATCCACATCTCGGTTGACACCAGCGGAGCCGTTAAGCGGTCCGGCTTGCGATTCAGCGATTCGGGGTCCGCCGGATCGGTGGCGAGCGCGAGCGCGGCAAACGTGTCCATAATCAGGTTGAGCCACAAAAGCTGCACGGCGGTCAACACCGAACTTTCGCTGTCACTCGCGACAGCCGAGACAAAGGTGACCACCACCGCGACGACGTTCACGGTGAACTGAAACTGCAAAAACTTGCGCACCGCATCATTTACACACCGTCCCCACATGATCGCATTCACGATGCTGGAGAAGTTATCGTCGAGCAGTACAATGTCGCTCGCCTCCTTGGCCACTTCTGAGCCTGACAGACCCATCGAGAAACCGACGTTAGCGGACTTGAGCGCGGGACCGTCGTTGGTGCCATCGCCCGTCACCGCCACGATTTCACCCATGCTCTTGAGCTTGTCGATGAGCCGCTTCTTGTCGTCGGGACTCGAACGCGCCAGCACCTGCAGTCGCGGCACCAACTCCGTCAGGTCATGGTCATCGAGTTGCCGGAACGCCGGTCCTTCGATCACCACACCGCCGGGCGTAAACATGCCACACTGCGCGGCAATGGAGCGCGCCGTGATGATATTATCGCCCGTGCACATCTTGACTTGGACTCCTGCCCCGCGGCATGCACGTACCGCATCTGGCACACCCACACGCAGCGGGTCCTCGATTGCGGTGACGGCGAGAAGCGTGAGGTCTTGCGCGAGGTAGTCGTACGCCACCTCGCCCTCGCTGTCCCGCGTGGCGTCCGGCGGCGGCCATGAGGGAAAGTCGCGGTAGCACAGAGAGATGGTGCGCAGCGACTGCGACGCAAACTCGGTGATGAGCCCCGTGAGCTCTTCGTGCTCAGCCGCTTCAATCGCGCGCGTGGGCAGCTGCGTCGGATCCGTCGCGCCCGAAAGCGCCTCGACGGCACGCGTGCTGTGTCCCAGGAGCACCTCGCTTGCTCCTTTGACCAGAAAGCGGTAGCCGTTGGGCATCTTAATCACCATGCCCATCGCCTTGCGCTTTGAGCCGAACGGTATCACCTGCACGGTCTCGGCTGCATTGCGGATAGCCGCATAGTCGCCCCAGTGGTACTTGGTGACCATCCCCAGCAGTGCCGTCTCGGTCTTGGAGCCGACGAATGGCGTATCGTCCTCCTTGTCCGCGGCCGACTCGTTGCGCGAGGCACTGCGCGAAAAGAGACGCATGTACCACGGCTGCGGCACTGGTCTCTCCTCTGCTTCGATGGCGTCGCTGCGCTCAGGAATGAATGCAGTCGAGTTGATGCAGATCGATTCGGTAAACACCTTTCGCAGCGCCTCAGGCAGCCGCGCTGACAGCTCGTCCATGTCGACAAGCGTCTCGGTAGACTGCGTATTGTCCACCTCAAACTTGACGCGGTCCTGGAAGCGCAGATCGCACCCGATGCTGCCGGCCACGACGTTCATCTTGTTCTGCGTCAAGGTACCCGTCTTGTCAGTGCACACGCAAGTGGCATTGGCCATCGTCTCGCACGAGCCCAAAATACGGACAAGCAAGTTGCGGTTCGACATACGCCGCGTCGCAAACGCCAGGGCCAGCGTCACAGCGAGCGGTAAACCCTCGGGCACCGCAACCACAATGATCGTCACTGAGATAATCAGGATGTTGATGAAACGCTGCCCGTATTGACTGCCTTGCTCAGAGGTCAACTTGGGCGTACTGTCCGTCATGTCCAGACCCAGCTTGACAAAGAAACGGATCATGAGCGCCAAAAAGAGGATCAGACCCGCTGCCGTACCCAGCTTGGCGATGAGCTCGGCCATGTTATTCAGCTTGCTCTGCAGCGGTGTGTTCTCCGGCTCCTCACGCAAGGACATCATCAGCTTCCCGTTGAAGCTCATCGGTCCCACGGCAATTACCACAAATTGACCAACACCCTCTAGCACCTTGGAGCCAGAGATCATAAAGCAGCTCTTGTGCTTGAGCGGCTTCTCGGCATTGTCCAGCTCATGGATGTAATCATCGTACGACAACTTGTTGATCATATCCGACTCGCCCGTCACACTCGACTCGTCGCACCGGATGTTGTGCCCCTCAATCACCACACCATCAAACGGCACAACTTCACCAGGCTCAAAGAACACAATGTCACCCACCAACACCTCACGAACGTCGACCTGGTGTTTGGTGCCGCTGCGGAGGACCGTCACGTCGCGTGCCTCTTTCTTGGCATCGAGCATGCGGAATTGGCGCTCTTTCTGCCAATCGTTCAGCGAGCCAACCAGGTCGACAATCGCCACGGCCACGAGAATCGCCACTCCCTCGACCCAGTCCACCTTGGGTGGCTCGCATCGGTCCTGGCCCGGTGGCGGGTTGGCGCATGCCACCTTTTCCGGCCCATTTGGCCCAAAGTCGGTGTAAAAGCCAAGTGCCAGCGACACAATCGCTGCAACGATCAGCAGAATTAAAATCTTATCTTGCAATGCAAGCCACATCAGCGTCAAAAGGCTCTTGGACTTTCGCTCGGGCAACAAATTGCGGCCATACACGCGCTCGCGGTCCGCAATCGTCGCATGAGTTGGACGCGCGTCATCAGTTGACTGTTGCAGTGTGTCAGGCACCAAACCTGTGTCTTTGCTCGTCCCTAGGCCGGCCAGCAGCCCAGATAGACCTCCCATGGCACGCAGTTCCTCCACGTTCTCGGGATCAATGAGTGAGCACAGTTGTCCTGGCTTAAATTGGAAAGGTGCAGGGTTTTTCCATAGATTCTCTTCTAGCTCCTTTTTCATGCGTTCCTGCTCTAGCGGAGCGGAATCGCCTTTGAACCAGCACTTGATTTTCTGGAAGAAGCCATTCTTCGGAATTTCACCACCAGCACGCGTGCTAAGCGTGGTATCAGTGCGGACCAAGTGTGGGCCCTCGGGCACGGTTTCTGCGCCAGCAGTGTTGCGCTCCTTGTGCGCCAGCGGCTCGGTCGGTGATTCAGATGGAAGCAAGTCATGTTTATGGTCGTCTTCCATGTGAGAGGGAGTGCGGTACAATTCCCCCTCACCTTGCGAAAGGTATGGGCTGTCCGTGACTGTCCCCTTCGAGACAAACTCGGTCTGGTTCACTTCGGGACCGAGGCTATCGAGCTGGACGTGTATAATTGGGGGGGCTAAACTACCCCCCTCTTCAATACGCCCCCCTGACGCCACTGCGTCTGTGCTCGTCTGCATGCGCAAACTAGTTATGGCCGTCTTGTGTGTAGACACCTTGTAACTTCACCAACCTTTACACGCGCGCCACGCACATGCGAGGGCAGCAATTCCCAATGGCGTCGACAACTTTAGGAGTGTGCCCTGTCTATCTACGAACAGCCCGTACCCACGTGACCCTTGGTATGCCGCGCACATCGACCGCGTGGTACCTGCCGGGGAAATCTGCTCCGTGCACAGCCCCTGGTGCGTCGTTTTCAAAATTAGATTCAGTAGCCCCAACTGCGCAATATGCCTGCCGGTGTATTAGTATCGTGCCAAGAATACTGCGCTGCACGTACCAAGCCAGCCGCGACCCCCCCATTCGATCCATTGCCCCAGCCGCTTGGCTGCGTCATTGGCTGTGTCATATAAGCTGGGTGTTTCAGCAATCCGTGTGAGCAGTGCCGCACAGGCGTCAGGAGAAATGTTGGGCTCTGCTGCCAGTACGAGTTCTGGAAAGCGTCAGAAAATGGTGCTACCCACCTGCAGATCCATAGGCTTGCGCTAGCCGCGCACGGAGCGCATACCATTCAGGCTGCAACTGTGAGTATGCGCAACATACCCCGTGGTTGCCCGTGACCCCCGCCGCGAAACATGCCTCATTCGCAATGTGACTCGCGCGGGTGGAGAGAGGCAGAGGCGTTGGCAACGCGCCCGACCAGGGGAATGCTCTCGGCGATATGCCCACCTTGTGCAAC